TCCGCAACAGCATTCTCTCACGTGACACATATCTGCATGCAGGTCTTACTTTTTGTGACACCGTTTCTTCTTCTTTGCAAGCCTCACATCACGCAAAACACTGATGCACGCCGCGGAGCGAAACCACGCTGCCGGGCAGTATCGGCACAAAAAACAGGGTAGGAAGTACTATCTTGCCAGCCACACTGAACGATTTTTGTTTTGCCTCTTTGCTTTTGATAACGATGTGCGGTGAAGCGTTGCCACGCGTTTGGTAACGAGGACGATAGTCGACCCGCATTGTCAAGGTAAGCGAGAGTGACAGAAAACGCTCGCGTAGAAGGAGGGTAGGACCGAAAGAAACGGTACGTTAGCTTTCAGCGAGCGGTTGAGGAACCGTAGTTTGCGGTGCGAACGCTAAGTTTTGGGTGCGAACATGTGAGACTTGGCGGAGACGTGAGAGGGTTACGACAGTGGCGTATGGCTTGTATGTTCCCTCTTCTCAAGCAGGCGCAAAGAAACAAAAAAGAATATCACGTCCGAAAACATGCGACATGGGAAAATGCTGTTTGATGCATCGGCCTTTTTGCATGTCTCATTCCTTAGCTTCATGCTTTCTCCGCACTTTCATCTCAAGCCACCACGCACGTCTTTTCAGCTTCTTCTATCCAATCTCCATTTCGTCTACCGCGGCTGCAGCTCGCTCTTTTCGGATGGCGTCTTTCTTTGCTCTGCGTGCGGCTGCTCTTGACATGCCCTTGCCACTGCCGATCTTGCGATATGCGTCCAAGGACATACCTATGCGCTCCGCGGCTGCCATTTGGGCTTGCAATGTCTTGTCTTCCGACATGTCCATCTTGGGGTTAGCTACTTTTCTTTCTTTGCGTGCTTGCATCCTGGCGAGATTCTGGCGGGTGCGTTTGTCTAGACAAGGTTTAGTATGACGGTGAAGTGAACGTGTGAGGGTCCGTTGGAGAACGCACTCATCTTCTTGCCCAGAGGCTCGGAATCAATGGCCATAGTTTGGTCGCCGTTGGCTTGCTGAACCGGGCCTGCATCATGTTAGACTCGCTCACCCCGGTCGCACGTGCCAAAAGCAAGTGCGCGTAGGATCAATAGACGTTAGACCGTCATATCCACCACGTGACATACCACTCTGCAGGTCGGTTTGGGGCGTCGAGAAGGCGTCGCCCAAAACGTCGACTAACTCATCAGCCAATGCGCCCATCTTGCGTCGGTCTTTTTGCTTTTTCTTCTTCGACTTGGTCGCAGGCGCCTGGCCGTTTGCTCGCCTCGGGGAAGCGCTTCGCTGGCTCGTCTGTGATTGGTCGCTGTCGCTTGCATCTGAAAATTGTTCCTCGTCGCCCAACCTGAATCCTGTGTTTGCGACAACGGGCGTGTTCGCAGCGGCAGCGTCTGCTTCGGGCAAGGTGGGCGCCATGTTGCTTTGTGGACTGCCGAATTGAGGATAATGCAGATGCAAAGGTTGGCTGGACATCAGAAAAGGTAAGAGCAAGGGATCGGCAGAAGGTTTATCCGGCGCATGTGATTTGTCCGTCGGTGTGTATTATCGAGTACCAATGCTGTGTCGCTCCATGCGCTCTATCATCTACCTCATCGTCCGCCTTTTGAGGAGTAAACTGTAAACTGCTATGCACAATGCCGCCCAGAACGCAATTGGAAAGAATGTAATGACGCGCAGGATTGACGGCCTAAAGTGTGAGGGAATATGGCCCCGCAGCGAGGATGAGAAGAGGAAGGTACAGTTAAGGAAATTCGTGAGTCGTGAATGCATGTCCAAGCACCCGTTCCGGCGGCCGACCAGGCCAGTCCTTTGCGCCCAACTCCAATGCCAAGCCCTGTCTAGCTCTTGATACCAACTCCAGTCCAAGCAAATGTGATGCGACGCTACTCGTCATCGTCAACAAAGAAACCCCAGAAGAGCACTTCCTCGTTCTCCCGGCCCCGCAGACAGCCGCCGTAGACGTCTGCGCACATCTCGATGGGCACCTCGAGCTTGATGCAGCCGTTGCCGAGGAAGGTGAAGAGCAGCCACGAGTCGTATTCGGGGAAGGTGCCGTCGTCGTCGTACTTCCGGCTGCGTATGCCGCGGTTCTGTAACGAGGGCGTTGTGGGCAGGCGGAACGTGTGGTAGGGCAGCGTCTCCTCCGAGTCGGCGACGAAGAAGGCGTCGTTGAGGGCGAGTTCGACGGTGACGTGGGGCGGCGAGGGGGTCTCGGACAGGCTCAGCGTGTCTTTGTGGAAGCGCAGGGTGCCGAAGCGCAGCTCCGTGGGCTGGCCGAGCAGGTCGAAGAGCTCGGTGGAGTAGAGGCGGAAGTAGCCATTGTGCAGGCTGCCCAGGTCGCTCTCGTCGTCGGCAGCGCGGCCGCTGAGCGAGAGGCTCTGCAGCTGGTCCTCGACGCGCTTGCCCTCGAGTTCGGCGGCGTCGAGCGACCGGCGGATGTACTTGGGGGTGTACTGGTTGCTGAGGTCCGAGATGGCCAGCCGGCAGGCCTCGCGGCGGATCTCGTCGCGCCGGGCGGTGCTCTTGGGCGTGGTCACGTCGTCGGCGGCGGGGTCCTCGAGCGAGCGCAGCAGCCCCGTCTCGAAGCCCTGGACGAGCTCCTCGAACTCGCGCATCACCCGGGCGAGGGGAGACGAGGCGAGGTGGGCGGGTTTGGCGTCGCGGGCGACTGCAGTGCTCTCCAGTACGGCCATTGGAGGCGTGCGCGGCCAGGACGTGGCTGCGGCGCAGGGTGGTGCGTGTTGGTAGGCGGCAGTTGCTGGACGCGGTGGACGCGGCTTTGAGGCTCCTGGGGGCGGAGAGGGGTGTGCAGCTCCGGCTGGCACAGCAGTCGAGGCAATTGCGGTCGGCCGTGTCGTCGTGGGCGTCGGGGGATCGGCCGTTAGTCGTGAGGGCAAGGCGCAAAACAACAACAACAGGACAGTGTCGCAGCAGACGGGCTAGTGCATCAGGAGACAAAGAAGGTCGGGACCTCGAGGGAGGGACCGAAGTTTTGCTCGCGGCTCCAAACCCGCCAAGAGTGCTGGGTAGATGCTTCCCTCTTCCAGCCCACCGGCTAGCGCGACTGCATCCAATAGGCCAGGGCTGGCCCTCCACGGCGATGCACTGCGAAGGGGCTTCAGCGTGCGACGGCCCAAGACTGCACGCAACCCAGCGGTTAACCGTCGCCTATGCCCCATGGCGAGCGCTAACTCTTGCTTCTGCTCAACAGTCGCTGTGCGCGCGCCGCTTGTAGCAGACTGACCCAGCCCAGTCGCTCGCTCGACTTGATGCAACCTGCGAACCGTCTGGTTGGTATCCAATCAGACCAAACTGACCCGGACCTGTTATAAAGACTGGGGCGGCACTGAACGGCCCGAACATTCGAGACAACCGCCAGCGCTCACCAGCATGACCGCCCGCCTCATAGAGAGAAAAGACTGAGCAGATCGTGCAGCCTACTCCGGATTCCATCAAGGTAAGAACATGCAACGTATCGATCCAACGTCGAAGTAGGCTCTGGGGTAGTCAATTGTTTCCTAGCATGCTAGATTGCAGTGAGCCTAGCCTACGACCAGCATAACACGACTACTGTAGGCTTGGCTTCGGCATGCCGATCTCTCACCCCACGCGGCTTCCCTGCCGCTGCCCTCACTCTTACTGTTGATTGTTGATGGTTCCTCATCCGGCCTGGCGCGCCTGCCACCGTCGCATCGCCACTTCCTCGACCACTCCTCGCCCACTCCTCGCCCTCTTCCCAGCCCAGCCTTCTTCGTCAGCAATCTATCCTCTGACCATCTCGTATTGATGACTGGTCATGGGCGCTCGTCGGCCTGCTTTCCTCGCGCGAACCATCACCATGTCTGCTCTCCTCACACCCCGTAATTGCACCAGGGAGCCCAGTCCACGCTCTCGGCTTTACACACGCCTGTCGGCACTTTGTACCTGCCTCGACGTCTTATGCGACCTCAGATGATGTACATGTGCAACCACGCTGCGACCTGGAACCCCCGCAATTCGCCATTTGCCGTCACTACGTCACTGCTGACCGTTCCCAGCGAACCCGTACAGACATAGAGCGTAGTCATAGCGGTGAGACATTTGCCTACATCCCGCGCCTGATTACTCCTCCTCGACATACAGCTGCTCACCTACCTGCACATCAATGCTCCATCCTTCGCGGAGCATCGACGCCGATCCAACATCGCCGCTTACCGTCAGATGGGGGCTCCAGACCGAGAAATCAGCCCACCTCCCTGGCTCCAGTCGTTCCTCCCCGCCTCTCCGGGCCTGCCTCGGCTTCTTACGTGATACTCCGGCCTACCAGGGTGCATGCCTAGACCGATGTGTCCGACGACACCAGGCAGGGCTGTCCGTGGGAAGTGCCTGAGGCTGCGGTGAGGCATGCAGTCTGGCTGTGTTCAAATCGTGAAGTCGATGTTCGTTCCACGGATCAGTGTCATGGAGGGCAAGCGAAGTGCTACGCCGCTTACGGTGTCTAATTCTGTTTGTTTGGAGAACAGTACGTCTTATATGCTGGTATCGATGTCAAAATTCTCTTTTCAAACATCGTTTGTTGATCCATGATGGTAAACCGAAAACGTTGCCGATGTATTCATTGTTTCGCAGCATATGCAGGACTCTACAAAATACTGGGCTCTTGGAAAACATCTCTCCCTTGGTCACGAGTAGCTTCATGGCGTGCGTACGCTTGAGTCAGAGCCAATCTCCGGAATCAAGAGGTGATGGCGGCATGTGTCTCGCCATCTGCCGCTGCCACACTGCTCGCGACTCCAGGCGGCGAGGGAGGAGCGGAGGAACTCAGGTGAACCAGCAAGCAGGAACCAAGGTGAAGCAAGCCTACCCATCTCCCAACACCATCATCCTTCATTCTACACACCAACATCATCCACAAAGCTATCGTCAACGAGCCCCTCTTTATCAAAATCTTAATATGCAATCAGTCTACGGCTTTATCAGGTATACATCTCGCTCACCTGTTCGTCAAACCGCCAGTATGCCTTCAGCCAAAGGTTCCGTTGCGCCTACACCGCGTTCACCTCCAATCGTCTCGTCCCCAACCTTCGCCGGCCCGTCAAATTTCTCATCCAATTATAAAGGCAAAGGAAAGGCCCCCATGACCAACGACACCAGCAATGGCGCCAGCAACGGCAACACCAACGGCAACGGTATTTGCAACAGCAAAGTCTACACTGCAAGCCACGGCAACAGCAATGACAACAGCAAAGGCAGCGGCAACGACAGTAGCAACGGCACCAGCAATGACAGCAGCAATGACAACAGCAATGACAACTCCAACGGCAGTAGCAACGACAATAGCAACGGCAATGGCAACAGCAATGACTACACTCCAAGCTACGGCATCGGAAACTTGACGGAATACCTCATCGACGTCAAGACGCTCACCAAGCTCTGCGACCTCGGCGTATCAGAAGCCGCTCAGCTCGGAGCCCTTCTCACCGAGCGCTACAAATCCCTGAACGAAAAGCAAACCCGCCGCATGGCAGCCGCCGAAAAGATCATTGACGAAGTCGAGACTATGAAAGAGGGACACAACGTTTTTGACAACAACGTCGTCAACCACTACGATCGCTTCGTTAAGGAACTGGAGGCAGCTGAGACCGCCATGTACGACGGAATGAAGGTAGCCATGTACACCGATGCCGCGAAGAGCGCAAAGCTGGCCCGAGAGAACTCCGAGTTTGCCAGGAATTTGCACAAAAAGATCGAGGTGTTGAATAGTAAGTACAAGGCTAAGAAGGACGAGATTGTGGCTGCGAGGGATGAGATGATTGATATCTTGTACGGTGCTGTTATGCGGTGCATCCTGGTGGGTTCTAGTGCTGGCGTGGGTGAGAATGATAAGGGGAAGTTGTTGAGTTTATTTAAGCGCTGAAGACACTGGGTTGGGGTAGGTGTTGGTGCTGCGAGGCTTATTTGGTATGGTAGTTTGGTTATACACTGCGAATCGTTTCGCTGCCTTGCGGCCGGTTACGAGCACACGCCGAAAATGCAGTAAGTAGTTCCGTAAGGCTAAGCTCTTTTTAATCGTGGTGAGGTTTCGTAGATGGGACTGTCATTCCTCTATAGGTATCATGCGACGATGCACTGGATTCGTCTGCCTATATATATATTGATGCGTTTATCTTCCTAACAAACTGTTCGGCAGCGTACCTAGGTTTTCGCTTATAGAGACGAGGCACTATTACATAATTAGGCTGGGCTAGTCTTATTAGGCTGAGCGCTGCTACCTTTCTAAGCCTCTACTATGCTGCCTCTCTAATAAGGCTCTGCTATAATTAAGAAAATATAACGTTATTATATAAAGTGTTATATAACTACTAAGTATAGTATATACTAAGTATATAGAGCTTAACTCTTTCTAGTTTAGCCTATTAGACTTATTATACTATTTATATTAAACCTATTTATTTATAATAGTTAGTAGCTACTCTTAGGTTTATAAGTTCTAGTTTTATACTTTTTATTTCTAGCGTTATAATTCTTCTTATATACTCTCTACTTATCTCTATTAAGTATATCTACTATATTACTAAGTTACTATAAAGAACTAGTATCTTTACTAAAACGCTCTATAGAGGTTAAAGTAACTAATATATTTACTAGGTACCTAGTAACCTATATTTTATAATATAGTAATTAGATATAGATAGCTTTTTTTATAAATAGACTAATATTTAGATAGCTATAGTAATAGATATCTCTAGTTAAATAAATATAAGCGTAACGCTTTTACTAGATTTTTTTACCTTTAATAATAGTTAGTAGTATTTACTTCTCTTATTAAGCTCTTTAGAAAGAACTCTTTTTAATATACCTAATTAGTTTATTTTACTTTTATTACTAGTTTATAAGCCTATAGTAACTAACTAGTATAGTTAGTAGAACTACTCTACTTCTTCTCTTAATTTATAGTTTCTATTTACTAGTGCTATACTTTCTATAGTTCTAATAAATAACTACTAGATTTATAAAAGCTACTTCTAATTTAATAATACTCTCTAAATACTTCTTCTCTTTTTATATACCTAGTATATACATATTATATATACGCTACTTAGATTCTTACTAGCTAGCTAATAAGTATAAAAATACTTATATTATTTTTCTTTTTCTTTTCTTCTCTTTCTTTATACACTACTACACCTTTATTATAAACTCTACTACTATAGTAGTATTTCTTACTATACTCTTATTACTATTATATTTTCTCTAAAAACTACTTTATATTAGTACTAAAGTATATATAAAGTATACTTGCTGCTTTAGTTTCTTTACTACTACTATTAGTTTAGCTCTAGCTATAACTAACTAGCTCTATTCTTTTTATAATACCTAACTCTCTATCTATTACTATAATTAATGTAGTACGCGCCTATAATCTTATAGTATATTTAAATAGTACTTCTAAGTACTAAGAGCTTATCTCTTATAGTAAGCTTAAAGTTACTTAGACTATTCTTAAACTATATAAAACTTCTATATCTTTTAAAAGTTATAGTTAGACTAGTATAACTCTCTCTATCTATAGTATTTAGTCTTTTTTTTCTCTAAAACGTACTTTTTTTAAAAATAACCTAGAATAAAGCTACTTTTAGTACTAGGTACTAGCTATTAAGAGACTTAGAGCTACTAGATAAGTTATTAATAAGAAAGTTACTAACTTTAGAGCTCTAACTAGTAGTTTTTATATATTTACTACTTTTACTATTTAAAAGATACTCTAATAAAATTCTTCTGCGCTATAAGCTATAGAACTTATACTTCTACTAGTCTTTTCTCTCTAGCTAGTTACTTTTACTATTAAACTAGAAGTTTTCTTACTACCTATTATTTAGCTATCTATCTTACCTTTACTATAGCCTCTATTACTAGAGTTACCTCTAGTTTATAGATTATTTTATAACTTATAGTATTTATATATATCTATACTAAACTCTTTTATTAAGGCTCTCTCTTTATTAATATACTATAAGGCTACTTAGAATAATAGTAAATTAGACACTTCTATTTAATAGTTACTTATCTAATAATAGATTTATAGCTTCTTACTATCTATTACTAATATAGTATAACTTTAGCTACTATACTTCTTTCTTCTAGACGTTCTACTAATAGTTAAGTACTTATCTAAGAATTAATAATAGAAGCGTAACCTTAGAGCCTAGTAAAAAGATTAAATTTAATACTTTTTAAAAAGAATAGACTATACCTTTAATATAAGTAATTATAGTAATAAGCTTTAGAAGGCTTAGCCTTAGGCTACTCTATACGTATCTTAGATTCTAATAGTATAAAAAGTATTTCTATAAGAGCTTACTTACACTAACTCTACTTTTTATCTTAATATTATAGTACTACTTACTAGAAACTCTACTTATCTACTACTCTCTCTATAGTTTTATAACTTTACTCTACTAGAAAATTTTTAGAATATACTATTAAGGCTACTTATTACTTAAGACTCTCTTTAAAGTACTTACTAGAATCTTTCTCTATATATCTCTAACTAGCTTTTTTCTCTATATAATTAAAGTAACTTTATAGAATATTTCTTATATTATATACTATAGAATACCTATTTTAAAACTCTATAATATTATACTATATAGCTAAGGTCTAACTAGATACTCTACGCTATAGCTTCTCTATAAGCTTCTATACTTATTTCTTCTAGACCTTCTTAAGAATAGAATAGTCTAGCTTCTAAGCTTTTTAACTAGCTTACTAAGAAGCTTCTAAATCTAGTAGCTTTATTACATAGATATTACTTATACGTTCTAACCTAGCTAGCTTTCTCTATAGTATATTATTTTACTAGAGATAACTATAATAGTTTTATAACTAGTAGCGCTAGTCTAGCTCTTTACTAATAGCCTTAGTAGAATATTCTACTCTACTATAAATACGTTAATAGGCCTTTTAACTACCTTAGAAATAGTAGTTTCTTTTAGCTTAGTTTCTCTACCTACTTTCTATATTAAGACTCTAGAGTAACTATATTCTAATCTACTTAGTAAGATAAGAGTAATAACTATACTTAGCGCGCGCTAGCTATATTATAATAGAATACTAATAACTAGAGTTTAATACCTAAGTAGTCTAAAATTATAGATAATAATACTTATATTAAGTTTATAGAAAGGTTACTTAAGTTTATATCTAAGTAAGTTAGTTTCTTTTAGCCTAATATACTAAAGGCCTAGTACCTAAATAATATAGTAGAAGTTTCTAGTAAGATATACTACTATAATATCTATAACTTTCTAGACTCTATAAAAGTAACTATTACTATAGAATCTATAGCTAAATATACTATATACTACTACCTATACTAATACTTTAAGAGTACTACGCTTCTATAGTACTAGTTAAATCTTAAGATTAATTAGTGCTTAGATATTATTAGTAGTAAAAGTCTTAAGCGCTAGAAGTAGGTTTTTAAGCTATTTTATATTTAATCTACTCTAATAATAAAGAAACTCTAGAAAGAGCGTTTTACGCCTAAGAACCTTCTTAATAGTTACTTACTAGCTAAGTAGTATCTTAAGATTAAGCGCTTTTACTAGAATACTAGCTATAGATATAATAATAATAACTACTATATTATATAGGCGTAGAATCTTCTTAATCTATATATTTAAGTCTATCTACATAATAATATTATCTATATAATATCTAATACTTTTCTCTTTATACTTAAAAAGTATAAGTATATTTTAAAAGTAGTCTTCTATATAGATAATACTATAGGTAAGTAGAATAATTCTTATTAAAATAATAATTATAGTTTTAGTAGAGTAGGTAATCTAGCTTAGAGTAATACTAGTAGTTCTAACTATTAGTAGCCTTATAGTTCTACTTCTCTAGATAATAGTTTTTATAATAATAACTTCTAGCGCACCTATAGTAGACTCTCTAATACGCATATATAGTAAAGTAGAAATAAAATATAATAGTAGTTCTATCTATAGAATATAGACTACTTAAATAGATATAGATTATAGCTCTAATAAAACTAAAGTAGTAGAACTTATAGTAATAGTAATCTATAAAGTAATATATATTAATAAGATAATAGCTAACTTAGTATAGAGTTATAAATATACCTTTAGCTATAAAGCGCGTACTATAACTAGAATCTTAGATATATTAAAGCTAGCAGAAACTTCTATTTTATACTTTTAGATATAAATACTACTATAGATTTAAGTATAATATTATAGAATACTACTTTACTACTATATTATAAAGGCGTTTTATTCTATAATCTTATAGAATAAGCTAAAGCCTCTATTACTTCTAGCTAACTAGTAAGTAACTAGAATTACTTTTTAGATAATTCTAATAATTATAATTCTATATCTTAGGCCTTTTATAAGCCTTAGATCTACTCTAATAATAAAGATAATAGTAGCTATATCTACTTTATTAGTTATATTCTATAAGATTTTTAAGTAAATAAGTAAGTTTATAACTAGCCTTTTATTTATACCTAGTACTACTTATTATTTACTTTAAATAATAAACTTTATAAGTATATCTACTATAATTATAGCTTCTACGCCTTAGAGTACTAACTAAGTAATATATTTACTAATACTCTAGTTTCTATAAGAGATACGCAGCCTTTTTAGTAGTCTAAGATTACTCTAGTAAAGCTAAATAAGCTTCTAGTACTATACTCTTAGATTATAAAGTCTATAGCTCTACTACTAGTTAATAGAGTAACTATAGTTTATAATTAGTATAAGATAAAGCTTATAGTACGCGCTAGTAGAGATAGACCTAATCTTACTATTATACCTAATATAGGTGCCGCTATTAGCCTTATAAATAAAGCCTTCTTAGATAAATATTTTAAAACTACTATAT